AATGTTGAGCACTGCCCGATGAGCTGAACTTAACATTTTGAACATAACTCAGAATCGTATCACAATGTTGGACAAAAAAACGTGGTATGTAAAATGTTATTACGACAAAATTAAAAAAATTACTTGTTTATAATTTACAACCCATTTAAAAAACGAGGATCTGAATTGGTTGGAATATTTTCTGTCTGATCCAGGTTGGTTCTTTACCACCTTGTCCGATTTCAGTGATTTTTGTTTTGTTAGAAAGGGGATATCTCAGGGTTGGTTCCATATGTTTTCAGATAAGGTGTGATGATGAGAAGAAAAAATTGTTATATTCTTTAATAGGAACTTGCATGACATGTGGGCGAATAATTCTCTACCGCGTCAACCGGTTTCGATGATAATATTCTTTTCAGTTCTTTGATGTCAGTTTCTACATTTTAAGAGTTTCTTTATCTTTTTTTAATATATATATACATATATATATATATATATATATATATATATATATATATATATATATATATTAAAGCACGAGAGTAAAATGAACGCAATAGAAATGCGGTCGTTAAGAAGTATGTTAGAGCTGAATCTGAATGACAGGGTGAGAAATTGTGTGATAAGAGAAGAGTGTGGTTTGCAAGATGATGTTGTGACCAGGATTAAGAAAGGAATGCTTCGGTGGATTGGTCATGTGGAATAAATGAATGAGGAAAGAGTGACAAAGAAAATTTATGTTGCAGAAGTGAATGGCAGAGTCGGAAAGGGACGTCCTATGCGAAAATTTATCGACCAAATTGGCGATTTATTGAAAACGGGCCAAATTAGGAGTACCCTTAACCGACGATCATGTATGCGTAGGTATATGGATGTGAAGGAGACGAGAGAGGTGTGTCAGGATCGTGTCAAATGGAAGTCTGTAGTCTCTGCCTACCCCTCTGGGTGACAGGCGTGAGTGTTTATGTATGTATATTTAAGAGGGGTCAAACGAGCATGCGGCTCACCTGATGGTAAGTGACTACCGCCGCCCATGAACAACCGCAACACCAGGGAAATTGCAGGTGCGTTGTCGCCCTTTTAGAAATGTGTAAGCTCTTTTATTAAAGGTCCCTAAGTCGTATCGGTCCGGAAAAATCGCCGGTGGTAAACAATTCTACAGAGAAGTTGTACGAGGAAGAAAACTGATATTAAAATGAATTAAGTAACTACTATCATATTATTTTAATTAAATTAAATGTAATAAAATTATTATGATGATTTTGAAAACATGTTATTAATTTATTAGTTGTGAAAATGTAATTAATGTATTAGATAAATATTTATGTGTCAACACTATGACAAAACATGCTGGACTTAAATAATTTACCAACCTATAATGTACCATGTTTTCTGCAAATAAATTATGATTATGAAACTCCTAGTAATACGCCGTGGTGGACCGTCAAGCATCCAGATGGTGAAGATGGTATCGTGAATTTTTACTGCAGAAGGTCCAACAGGGAAGGTGTATTATCTTCCACATATGGAATCCGCGTAGGCGAAGTAACCAGTTGTGCCAGACCATATGCCAAGGCAAAGTCAAGTCAACAGATCTCCCCGCATGATCAGTTAAACGTGAACCGAGCCATTCGGCGTGATGAGCGTTTAAGTCGCCAAGGATTACGATCTCTGCGGATGGGATCTGCTGTAGCATGGAATCTGTAGCCATTTGGACGTGGTCGACGAGAGTCGGTCTGTTTCGGCATTACCGCTATGAGACTTATAGAGGCACCTGTAGACGCGGGGATGGTCGTCGCTGTCTACACGTAGCTAAAGGATGGACAGGTCCATACCTTCAAGACTACCGAGGCGTCGGAAACAGATGTCTTCTCTGACGTATACGCAATACGCAAACTCCAGCCCGGAGCACAAAGGAGTGTTCTAATTTTTACCCCGAGTAGGAGAGATATGAAGTATCAGCAGGAGAGTACACCTGAGTCTCGGTTAAAAAGAGAAAGGCCGGCTTCGGCGTCTCCAGATGGTAGTGGACAACGTTAAGGTGGGTATGAAGACCCTGATGTAAAAATTCACGAATAGCGTGGCAGGGGTCGCTTTGATGTTGTTGCTCCGCTTGTCCCGAGCAGTTTTAGTCGCGAGCAGAATTGCTCCCCCCCCCCCAGAATAAGCGGGGGAAGCCTGAATACCCACGTTCAGAAAAAGTAGGATAACTTGGATGCTCAGCGAGAGATTCTCCGTCACCAGGGTGCTGGTACCCTCCTGGGGTAGTTTTTAATTGAATCCGGTACCATGTTAAAGGGGGTGGGGGATTGGACCTCCGGCCACCACTTGCACTCACCAAGCGAAACGCAGAGGTAAATCTCTACTTCACGCTGGTATTCTGTGAGGTCCTGGTACCACCCCGGTTGAGGCCGGCCCATGCCCGTGCGACACAAAAGCCGCCGCGTGGCTCTACCAGTTATCTAGTAGGGGAAGTACGTACAAAATGACATACACGGACAAAATGACACAGGCATCATATTTCAAATTCTGTCAATTCTAGCCCGCCCTAGACAACTATATCGGGTATGTTCCGAAATACAACGCAGTGTACTGTCCAATGCAAATGACGTATCATTTGACCCTTTATTGTACTAGGATGCCGCGGCCTATTATGTCGGATATCCGGCCATAATAACACAATTTTTAATTGTGTGTTTGCCGAATGAAGCATGCCAGAATTTGTTTCTATTTATTCAAATACAAAAAATTATAGAATAATTGGTCGTATATCCATTAGAAGGATATAATGATTTTTAGAGCACAAAATGACAAAATAATCGCCAACACTTTTCCAAATGGCGCAAAAGTATGACGTCATATACTGTCCAATGTTTTGGAACGAATCACCAGTATAGCGTCGATTCATGACATCATTTGCATTGAACAGTACACTGCGTTGTATTTCGGAACATACCCATCATGTGACTACCGGCTCATACCAATCTGTCAAAACGTGAACTCGCGCCTGTCTTTCGTTCGGGTGTCATAGCCGACGACAAAAATTGGTAAGTTACGAGTGTTTTTTTGATTGCAGGGTGTCTTTTGTTTTCATAGTTTTACCTTGCTTGTACGTTTATTACACTCCTTAGGTACTTATTGTTGCATTTGAATTTTTTTCCGTACATAATATTCATTTTGAATTTATAGATGAATTTTGATTTTTTATAACGCTATAAGGATAAAATGACACACAAAGTAACAGACAAAATGACATAGTATGTCGTTTTGTCCATAAGATCTCAATGAGCTCGTTGTGCACTAGCTATTTACCTTTATTCAAAGCTCTTAATTTCTTTAGAGATAAAATTTTACAAAAACGCCTTACAAAAACGATACAGTTCATACAACCGACTCTACTGAACAAGGTTCAGGTTAATTTAACATCAAACATTAGTTTCATCAAACCTTATTTTACCTGCTCCAAATCAAAAGCTGTTGGTAATAAAGAACGCCCTTTATTCTTACTCCCAACCTCCAAGGTACCCAAAAAAACAACAAACCTCTTATTTTGACTCACCTCCAAACATGAACACAATTAAGTCAAAACATGAGCTTAAAGCTCCTGCAGAAAAGAGAAGAAATATTACCAACCTTGTTCGAAGAAGTCGGTGAAGAAGAAAATTTGGCAAGCTACGCTCAAGATGACGAAGAGGATTGCGCTGACATATATTGCAACGATCTTTTTTCCCGGTCAAGACCAGGAGAAGACTGGTTGCGGTGTTTAAGTTGTTCGCAGTGGGCCCACGCTTCTTGCGCGGATGTTCCCAACCGAACAAAGCGATTCATTTGCGAGCTTTGTCTGTCCATATGCTATGGACAAAATGGATTTTCGTTGACTCCAGTTAAACTTTAATAGAAAAAAAAATAGTTTGTTTATCTTTTAAATATCTATTAGAATTCATAGGTATAAAACCAAAGATTACTGGTGTACAATATGAATATGCTGTGATTTATTAATAAAGAGTTATGACTCAAAAACAAAACTGTATGTCGTTTTGTACGTATTTCCCCTACAATTATAGCGGTTTGAATCGTCGACGACCGAGTTTTTTCTCATCGGATTGACGAACGCACTGGCGATGCTAAGAAGAGATATTGGATCCGTTTGCATATTCTTTTACCACGGGGAGTGCTCTGAGAAATTTTGACTCACGCTAGACCGTGTCGGATCCCAGCCGAGTGTCGGCCGTAGCACGGTCAAATAATATTACATATGTATTTTGTATGGAAATACGTTATACCGAGCGACAACCGTGTTACGGCCGAACAACGGACAACGCTCGGTCCCGACTTGTAGTATAAGATTTATCAGATTCTTCATCGTCCAGAGCGATCGCATTAGCCGCTAATTCCAGATCGTCAAACTTCAACATGATTGTAGCATAGTTATAACACTAGTTTTTATCGGACGAGTATACTGCGTCACGGCGCAACGGTAGCCGCTCGGTCGAGGCCCGTATTTGTAATTTCAGGCACGGGACCGGCTCGGTGGCCGTGCTACGTCCGACACTCGGCTCGGACCTGACTCGGTCTAGCGTGAGTCAACCTTTATACGGTAACACCATCGCATATCGCGATACCGTCTTAGATGATTAGCGGTATCTGGATGATTAGCAGTGTGCGATTTACGATACGATACGAAATTTTCTTCTTTGTCCAACTTCCTTGTGGATTCGACTACCACCAGTGATTTTTGCAGACCAATTCGACTTAGAGATTTTCATGAAAAGCCTACTCTTTTTTAATAGGTTGGAAACGCACCTGCAATTCCTTCCTTAGTGTAGCAGATGTAATTATCATGTAATGATCATGCAATGATCATTGTCGGTAGTAGTCACTTACCAACAGGTGAATTCCTTACAAAAATAATTGATTGTGGAATGTCACATTGGCTAATCCCGTCCTCACAAGCAGCATATGGCAGCCAACCCTTGCATGATAGAACTGGCACAGTATTGAGTAGCGTGGCACGTTTGCAGATGCCACGATGCGCTGCGCAAGAACAAGAACCTGATCGGCAGCGACCAGCGTGAGTATCAGCGCGAGCTCGAGCGCAACTTCGCGCGCTTCACCGAGCGCCTAGCGCCGCTCGTGCAGCACGCGCCCGGACACGTCGCGCAGCTCAGGTGCGTCCTCGCACAACACTACCACAGTAAGAATGTCCTCCAGACCGAAGTCCGGTCACAGCGGCTTGTCTCAACGGAGGCTAGCCATCGGCGCAGGACAGGATTATAGTGCCTAAGTGTATGCGCAAGCACAGGTGCACTATCTATTCCCTCACTCTCACAGTCTGAAGGGACGGTAAACTTTCACGACCGGAGAAAGATCAGGCGCAAATCATGCATTAGTCCGACCAACAGCTTTAGATGTGCTTTCTGAGGGGAGATGCATTGCTAACTTCCTGACTCCGGGCAGCTACTGAGAATTACTTTAAGGGAAAACTCATTAATGAATTTTTTGGCCCGACCCGGGAGTCGAACCCGAAACCTCATGATCAGCACTCGCGTTAACAACCACTAAACCAACGAGGCAGTCAACAAAACTATTGGTATAATGAACTATTTTTCTTTTTTTTCAGCAACGGACTGAGCAAGCATGACTACAAATATCAAGCATAATTATTATTTATAATCAATTTAGACGATGATTTAAGCAAAAATTAGATCTTTGGCTACAACATTAAGTTTGGAAACTATCTTCAGATTTACTTGTTCAAATCGTAACCTCCGTGACAAAACAGTACAGATGTGAAAGTGAATAGTAACAAATAAAAATTAGCGAACCGCCCCGGCTTTGCCTGGTTCGAATTGATTAATGTGGCGTTTTTTAGATATAACATAATCAAAGACCATTTATTTTAGCAATTTTAGTTTTAAGTTTTTTCCAATAAACTGTAGGCTCGTCGTAGTTTCGTCACAATTGGTTCAGACGTTCCAAAGATTGGGCCGGACAGATTGACATGTATAAAAAATTAAAAATGGTCGTTTATGTTCTTATAGCGTGCAAATAACCCCCTGAACTTAAAAGAAGTCAGTTATGTCAATATTACAGACCTATATGTATACATTCGAATGTAATTTTTGTCAAATACATATAAAAGTATTTTCTTTTATTAAAAAAACATATAATAACTAGGTTTATGAATCAGTGTCATGAGCATTTATGAATTTGAATTACTATACAAAAAGCTTTATTTGATAAATTAATATTTAAAACCCTTTGTTACAGCTGTAAGTTTTTTTTACGTATGACTTTATTTTCTCAGTGTATTTGAGGTACAGTGTATGGTGGCGGAATAAGGTAATCCGTTAACGTATAAGATCATTCCGTGTGCGTCGTAAGAGGGGACCGAAGGAAGCTGAAACAGATGTTCAGTTGTATTTTTCTAATAACTCAAAATAATAAAAAATGCGGTTGCCCAACTCCGCCTGTCAAGCGTGGCAGCGATGGCAAATATCCCAATCGAGGTGACAATCTACAGGGAAAGCCTATTTTCAGAAGTTGATTTTGATAGGCTGTGATGAAATTATATTTACTACGAAAGTAAACTATTTTCTGATTTTATCGATCAGTTTTGGAACTATTTGATTTTCAAATACAAGAACGTAATGTCACTTATAACCTTGATTTCTTCACATCTGTATTTTTGTATATATAAAGACAATCATATTTATCACGTATATTTTTATACTCAATTGCGTATTTATTCTGTGCTATATTTATACGTGTAGATATGAACAGTTTACTTTAATAAGTTCGAAACTATTTGTAAGCAAAATCTACGATTGAAGAAAACGTGATGCAACTAATTATTAATACGCATCAAAAAGTACGCACATAATATATAAATTCACGCACTTTTTATATTTAAAATCTTTTCGCCCCCTATTGCAAAGGGCGCCTAATATGTCTCACAGGTATTGGAGGAAAGCAGCGTTAATTACAATTTTCAATGAACGTAGCTGTTAAGGTTATTTAGAAATAATATGTTTTGTATAGATTCATGAATAATAGAAAATTTTGTAATGTATTATTTTACATAAAAAACATGTGTTGGTTCAGCTCATAATTTTCCAAAACACGCATATGTAACGCAACGTACGTTTTGTTAAAATTTAAAAGTAATTGGTGAAGAACATTTGGATGTTTAAGATCTTAAAAAAAACAAACAAATTTTATTTTAAGTACAGAGATATATTTGTATTAGAACTGACTGTTAAAGTGTAGATTAGACAATAGATTAGATTTTTCCATACTTCTATGTATGTCACTAGAAGGTCTCTGCGGTCCTTCACATATTGCGCATTAAAGAGCGTGCGAGAAGATTAATTCTTTTTTTTTTTTTTTGTAAACCGCGAACTTTGTTTTCGACAAAGTAACACGAGTTTTTGTTTTATGTGACTAAGAAAACGCTGTCATTATTTATTTTATGTGCGCACATTGTTAACGTGATTTGAAGTTAACTTCAGATAAGTATATAACTTTATTTCGTATTTGCCTAAAAACAGTAATGGTAGTAAATGAAAAAAACTGCGTAGCGTATTTAGCGAGCTGGCCAGTCGGCACCCGCGCGATCCACAGCTGGGACAATTTTTGTTCTGAATTACCGGTCTGGTACTATACGTAGAAGTCTTTGGATTTTTCATGTAAATGTTTCAAATCATTTTAATGTATTTTAACTTACTCTTCTCATATTTAAATAAAACTATCCCTTTCTAGAAATGATTTTTTATTTAATATGTATCTCTTGTGGTCTGTTTACTGTGCCGCATAGTCATATCCACTTTAAACATATTTTAATCCTATACAATATATTGAAACAACTAGTTCCTCCAGCTAGACATAGTTGCAAATCAAAAAAGGAACAAGTTTTTAGTTCAAAATTAAAACAAAATTAAAATTCTAATGGATAAAACTCCCACATTTACTAGTTAAACATTTAAAGAAACTTCATTACAAAAATATTAGGAGTAAAATTTCAATTCAAATCTTCCAATGGCCAGCTAGAAAATAGTAATGAAATAAAGGACAATAATAAACTTTTTCACTTTTTAAACTATGTTGTCACATATGTGGCAGACATCTTCATAAAGTATATAAACACATGTGGAACATCACAATACACTTGAGATTGCACAGTAAAATGCAAAAGTGAAAGAGATCCCCCAACCCGCACCACACTGAATGTATTTCAAGTTGGCCACTTTAAAAGTCTTGTATTAATTAAATGAAGATCTGCTGTTGTTGGATCACTCAGATTCTGCGGGCGTGTGCCACGTTAGTCTTTCCTCATAGAATGCAATCACCTGCAAAAGAGTTTGTCATCAATTTCAATTTTACAGTAATACAAAGTGTTTATTGCACGAACAATTGGAATACTGTTTTTTTTTATAGAAGAGGGGGCAAACGAGCATACGGTTCACCTGATGTTAAGTGACTACCGCCGCCCATGAACAACCGCAACACCAGGGGAATTGCAGGTGCGTTGCCGGCCCTTTAGAAAGGAGTAAGCTCTTTTCTTGAATGTCCCCAGGTCGTATCGGTCCGGAAAACTAGCCTATGGTAAACTATTCCACAGAGAGGTCGTACGCGGAAGAAAACTCCTTGTGAAATGTGCGTATTTTTGAAGCGACAATAGCCTAATGGCAGGGCGCGGACCGCTAACTCAAAAAGCCCGTGGGTTCGAATCCGCCATTCAACTACTGGCGTGAACTACCCGTAACACAAGCAATTTAAGCTTACCACGAGTGGTTAAGAGGAATATTAGTAATGTTTATAGCATTGTTAATATTCTTTGGACCGCCAAGTATCCAGATGGTGTGGATGGCATCCGTAGGTTTGCCGCGTAGTGCGTTCATGAAATTTGGCGGCTGGGATTAATCCGAACAATTCCTCACTTTTACGCAAAGAGATGTAACATCTCTTCGCAGCGCCCGTTAATCGAGCCGATCGGAAAGCACTCGGTCGTCGACGATTCGAGCCGCTCTGCGCTGGATGCGGTCAAGTGGAAGGAGCTGGCACTGGGGAGCCTCAGCCCAGAGATGGGAACAGTATTCCATGTGCAGCCGAACCTGCGCCTTGTTAAGTTGCAGCCACGAAATTCAGTCCCGCTTTGCCGAGCACGCCAAGCTTTTTTGAGGCCGATTTGGCCTTCTCTTCCAAGTGACCACGAAACTGCACGTCACTCGATATGTCGACGGCGAAGATTCCGATACTGGCTGAGGCAACAAGGGGAGTGCCTTGAAACTGAGGAGATACGACAAAGGGGTTCTCTTTGGCGGTTAACGCGAAAACTTGTGTCTTCTGAGGGTTAAACTGGACTAGATTTATACTGTTAAATAAAATTGAAAATAGAACAAGCACTTTATGACATAAGGCTCACGTCTTACAAAAATACGGACTAAAGTAGCAAACAGTAAGCGGAAGTTTCCAAAATTATTTCTTATATGTATTTTATGAGCACATTGCATATGGAATAAAATGAATTTTAACACTGGTTATTCGAACTTTTTTCATAGGAACACTAATATATAATTTAACTCACTTGTTGAGGGCATTTGACATTTGCAACCTTGGCAGGCACCAGCTCAGCTTCATCGGAATCTGCCCATTTAATTAGGAACATGAGTTCGCCTGTAGCATCTGATGCACCTGTAAAATAATACATTAAATGTTTAAGATTTGGATAAATTTAATTTTCTATATTCAACTCATGGCAGAGTTATGAGAGTTAGAGTATGCTCACAGTTGATCTAATATGCTTTTTCATAATTAAAGAAAGGTCTTATATTTCAAAAACAAGCTTTACTTGTACTCCAATTTCACTAGGACATAACCCGTGGACAAACCCCATAACAGTGGTGTGCTTAGTGTGTTCAAGTGTTCACTCGAGGTCCTGTAATGTACATAAGATTGCAAGCAAAGCAGATCTTTCCACCACAATGCACAAACAATAAAAAAAACTGTTAAAAGATTTTTAAATGCAGTAGGAGAAGAGAAGGAAGTATTTTTGGGTTTTTTGGATTTTGTTCTGAAACTGAATATAAAATAATCGAATTTACCAATAATTTTCTCAGCTTTCAGTCCTTTATCAAACCCGGACTTGGCTTTGTCTTCCTTTCGCTCTCGTTTGCTTTCCTTAGGCTCTTCCATTGAAGACACGCTGGTCGCACGCCCCTTGCTGCGCCCTGTCACGCTGGTGTCTTCGCTGGACTCACGCACTCGCTTTTTACCACGCTCTTCAGACTTCTTTGACTTCTAAAACCAAATTGTATAAATTATAAATAAATGCAAAACATATAAACGAATGTCAGACCACAAAGACAACCCATTCGTGGCGTTGAACGCACACGGCGTCATTTAAAGTGTCATTCTTAGGCGGATGACGCCGATCGGCGTAAATTATATTTTGGCCATAACTGGACCAATTTCTATTCTAAAGCGATATACTTTTATATGTGCATGTTTTACGTACATAATGATTTTAGAAATATAACAAAACTCTCCTCAGACGCGGAAAACGCCGAACAAAGGCGTCTTCCAGAGGTTATCAACATTGAAAACTTTTTGATTAAATATTTATTTTATTTTAGAGAATTAAAAAAACAGTTATAGGTTCATACTATGAGCAATCTTCATTTCATAATTGATAAACATTTTGTTGCGTTAAGGTGGCTCAAGTCGCGGGCTCGAACTCATTGGTGGGCGCGGCCAAAAAGCATGTTGTCTCACCTGGCATCGTGCCCGACAGAGATAGTACCAGTGAAGAGCAGTTAGAACGCACGTCTTGTTCGTACGGCGTTCCGAACCGTTAGAACAAAAACGAAGTTACACGAACACGGTGCACACATACATACCACCCTATTCTGTGCCGCTCGACACTTGCTAAGAAATCAGCAGTACCTATCTACAAACTCGTACTAAATTATTAGGCACTGCGCTACGTTATCGCTTTATACTATACCTCTATGGCTCTATAGATACCTAATATAGATTGCTTATTTTATTATGTTTTGTTTTCCCCGGGTGGTCATGCAGCGATCACTCAAGAGTTCACGACGCCGAAGCATGAACTGGAACAGTCATCGCAATTTATATCCGTACTAGCTGTTGCCAGCGGCTTCAAACGCGTGAACTCGAAAATTATCCCACAGGAACGAAATACCTGAATAAACGGTATCAAAAAATGTGTTATTCCAGATCAGGTATAACCTATCTCTGAGCTAAATATCATCCAGATCCCTTCAGCTGTTCTGGCGTGATTGAGTAACATACATCTATCCATCCAAACTTTCGCATTTATAATATTTAGATAATAATTGTAATTAGTTCTGCCTACCTATAAATTGTTTTCAAAAATACTTACCTGTCTTCTTACTTTGTTTTATATACACACAATATCACTAGATGTAAACACATGTTTTTATCAAGACAAGTGACCCGTCAAGACTGTTTCCTTAGTACCGACGTACTTAGGCAGGTAGTAGTAGGTAGGCAAAAACGATTACTACTAAAAAACTAAATAGGTTATACCTACCTAACATTCAAATAAAAATATTCTCAAAAAGCTCAACCAATTCCGAATTTAATTTTGTTAAAAGAAAATTGGTCAAATAAAAAATAAAGGATGAAATTAAAGCATATGGGAATATAAAAATAAATCGTATTTATTTGAATAAAACTATTATTTACGGATTTTATCGCGTTTAATTACTTTAATTTATTTTTATTATTATCCCGACGTTTCGGGTGCTTTACAGCGCCCATGGTCACGGGGGGGGACCATGGGCGCTGTAAAGCACCCGAAACGTCGGGATAATAATAAAAATAAAATAAAGTAATTAAACGCGATAAAATCCGTAAATAATAGTTCTATTCAATGTGTAGTGTTCGCGTAAATTTAAGAAATCGTATTTATTTGTTATTTCGAGTTTTACAAGAAAAGCATAATATTTACTGGAGAGAATTATTTTATTATTATAATAGTACATGATATTCCCTTTAAAATGACACCAATATGAATAATATCTTATATCTATATCTACAAATAAATAACATTTAAGTGTCTGTTTGTAATGTTAAAATAACAGCTTTTTATTAAATGCATATGAAAGTACTAGTAACAAAAACACATTTTTTAAAATTTCAAACACCACAATCTCTAATTTTTTACTCTGCTATCTTCAGCGCTGTACACGAACGGAACGATGTCGTTGAGAGCCGTGGTAGCTCACATGGTTAGCGCTCGTTATAGGTATCACAGTACGGGAGCAACCCGGGTTCGATCCCCACTGGCACCAATGAAATTGTTGCGTGCTGATTTAGCTATCAGTTGGAAAGTCTGTTTTTCTGGGCCGTTTTGTTTTGTTACACTGACATCTCGCAAGTCACCTAGGGACCTAGGAGGTTGTCGGTTGCTTATTTTTTATTTTTCATTTTTCTTTAAAATTTTCGTCGGTAAAATAACATATTTACGAAAGTAAAAAAAAAGTAAAGTTACAGCCTATATACGTCCCACTGCTGGGCACAGGCCTCCTCTAATTTCTGAGAGGGTTTTAAGGCAAGGAAATGTCCGCCACGCTGCCTCAATGCGTGTTGACGAACTTCATATTTCTTCGAAATATATATTTTTTAATTTCTCAGACATGCAGACCCGAGTTCGATCCCCGCCGGTATCAATGAAATTGTTAATTGCAATTGTGCTGATTTACCACGTGCTCGGCGGTGAAGGAAAACATATTGAGGAAACCTGCACGTCTGAGAATATAATTATAATCGAATGTAAATCAAATTGACATAGGTAAGTACAGATAAAATTAGCGGAACATTAATAAAATTTTGAGATCGTTTTTTTTTTCAAAATTTTATTTATATATTCCTCTATTTTTGTCTGTGCTTATATCAATTTGATTGAATCCAAAGTTCAAGCAGGGGTCAATGTAGCGTAGTAATTTAGAGCGCAGGTATAGCTATAATGATACGAACGTCACAGGCCGCAGCTGACTGAGTTGAATAAAACTAGAATAAGCGCGCGTCACCGCGCATGCATGTGTGTGTAAGTGTCGTCCTCCCGCACCGCACCGAGGGAAAAATTATTCAGTGAGATGCACGATAATTCATATAAACACGCGCGCGTAAAAAAATACGAAAAGGCCTTTGGAAGGAGGGGTTTTATGAAAAACCCACTGCATGAATCAATTACCAATAAAATTTATTGAATTCTTCGATAATTGAGCTGTGTCGGTACCGACTTTGTTTTGGAAATTTTACACTGCTTTTATTACTAATTTACGCCCAAAGTTGTGTTAAAATTGGCAATAAAAACGAATCTTTGGTAGCTCGTAACTTTTTACTGACTTTTTATTTTACTATTCTGTTTCGGTACAGACAAAATTAATAATAAGACAAAACGATATCATGTTTAACTTTGGATGTACACTGTCAAACAGCGGAGTAAAACCCCTCCGAAATTTCTATGGAAATAATGTCGACTAGAGTCACCTTAATATGATTATTCGTAATCAGTATTCAGTAGTCCACCAGTGATTGTTATTCGTCACAGATTGGTGTTACGACGTGTAAGTAGGCATGTGGGTGTATATGAATTAAAAAGCAACACTTAAAAACAAGGACATATATTTAAACAAGAATAATTTTTTATACCATTTTAACCCTAGAGTGGGCGCGCTATGAGCATTTTGCCGCACTTTGTAAAAAAATGTTAATAATATTTAAACCGTTAGTTATTGAAGGTCAAGCGTCTCAGTAGCTGCGTGTACACTCCTCCCGCACACCCCCCTCGTTGTTACGAAACAATCAGTGTGCAGCCTACCACAGGAGGACGAAATTGTTGTGCACTGGTCCTGTGACGCAGCAAATTGCTAAGTGCGCGCCCACTAACGTAGTTAAAATTTCACATCATAACATATTTATTTTTGGCCAAATGACATTTATTTTTTGGTAAGTACTGCATTGTTTTGTTTATTTATATACCTGTGTAGTATAATTTTATGTAATTAAGAATAATTTTTTATTCTGAGGCATTGTTTGTATCTTTTCAGCTTTTCATTTCAGCAAAATGAATAAGCAAGACGAATCAACCGGTGATGATGCGAAGCCCGAAATAATCACATTTTATAACGGACTCGGAGATGGCAAATGAGATTATTCTTTTCAAGTTTGAATATTGGCGGGATAAATAGTCACTTTATTTACACAGTAAACACTAAAACTGTCTTACTGCGTAGAATGTACTTAAAAGAGATATCCCTTGCCTGACCACATTTAATGAAAAGATCTAGCATAATGACATTTCCGAGCTCACTAAGAAGACAAATCGCTCGCTTTATGCCAATGGAGAGCCAAGAAACCCATGAAAAGCGAGAGGGAATATGCTCAATATGTCTTACGAGATAAAATCGACGAACAAAAAAAGGGTGCAAAGTATGTGCTAAATTACTGTGCTACGAGCACTGTATTTACACGTATGAGGGTTGTTTTGACGGGGCATATAGCCAAGATGCCTAGAGTGTTTTTTTATTCTAATTTCTTACGGTTTTGTTCATTACATAGGAGATTATGTGAAGTCGTTTCATATTTTGTTACTTTTTTTTTTGAGAATAATTTGAAGTTGATTTTTTGAGACTGATTTATGAGACTGAATTAAAAAGTTAGATTTTTCTAAAAGCTTATGTTTTATTTAAGGCTAACCTTTTCTCATTTATAGTCAATTTAAACAATCAATATGTAATATTTTAGTTTTTCTAAGAGCGGCAAAATGCTATACACGCGCCCACTTACGTTCCATGAAAAGGCGCGCCCACTGTATGGTTAAGGTTTTTATGTTCACTGTTATAGTACAACATTAATTGGTTGTGGTTATCTATGTTGCGCATATATTTAGTATAATTTGCAATTTATCAAGTTATTTACCAAAAAATGCACTCAGTGACTCGCAAAAACACTCAAAATTACATCTACCAAAGTTCAAAGCTTACACTCTAACAGTTTAGTCCATTGTCTGTCATAAGAGAAACAAATCACAAAGTTCGGAACAAATGCAGAAGTCATTGGGAAATGTATAAATAACGCTTACGTAAGATGAACCTCTATTCACTATGGAGACTAAAACAGAAGTAAAGCTTTCTTCTAAAGGACCCATGCCACAACCCAAGGCTGAAAGTGCCTCACAGCGCATGCTATGAGGCGAGCTTCGACGCGAGTTTGCCAGGAGTACAATAGGGAGTTAACAAATGACAAAAATAAATTCATTATTTATATTATGAGTTAACTTTTATTGTTGGACCTACAAAATCTAGTAAAACAATAGAACGGCGTCTTAAAAGGGCCATAAAACACGTGCAGGATGGCAATGTTTATTGCTTTAGTTTATAAACCGAATTGTCTCACACCGCACTCAATAAACTCAGTGACAATGATCGAGCCTCACCTTCAAGAGAAAATATGATGTTCTAGAAATAGTATGTAACTGGAAACCCTTCTCGATGTTTTCTCTTCCCATCAACTACTAATTGAAAACACTACTTATTATACTTAGTACATTTAAAATTGTAGACTAAATACTGTTATTAAAAGTATTTTTAACTTAAAAAAACTCAGAAATAAGGTTTGCAATCCTTGGTCATATTTTAAAAATACTGAAAATTCTGTCTAAATAAGCAAGAAATTATTTTCATGTGCGGAAAATATGCTGCGTGTTTAAATATGAAATGCGTCCGACGCCTATCGGCGTTAGTCCTTTAAGCCCGCCCCATGTAATAAGGATGATTCTTTGAGCCGCCTTGATTGGGATAAAGTGAGCATGATCTGCTGCATACTTCTAGTATTCTAGCTAGTAGCACTAGTACTCTAAGTATAGTTTTAGGATTATTTAATTTCTCTTAACTTATATCAATATGAAGATGAACTAAGTTCGCCGTAAAACTGGATGTAACTAAGATGTCACCTAGTATATTCACTAATGAAAGGCTCGGCCATGCGCGCTTTGTGTGTGACCGAAAGTTGGGTGCGATTATCGCATGTTTTTCAAAACTCGTGTGATGTTTGAACCACCACCAACGCATGATTTTTTTACAGAATTAGACAAACGAACACACAGTCCACCTGATGGTAAGTGGATCCACATTTAGATCTACAGATCATTCAGTAAAATGATCTCTGGTTACGAGATGACGGTAAAGGACGTAGGTCACTCAATAAGTTTTGAGATGCTCCAATTTTAAAAATGAAACGCACCCATGTTATATGTTTCCAAAAACCAAATTTATCTAAAAATGGAACTCCATAAGCCTATTGCTCAATATTAAAAAAAAAAAAAACAAAGGTCTATTAATTTTCCTGCAATGCTTCTTTCTCACGCTTTTCATTTGGATCTTAACCGTAAACATTTGCGCGCTAAGATCTATTAGGATTTTAAATTTGGTTTAACCAAACAATTAAGTTTACAATAGTAACAATCAGCGTTAGGGGACTCAGCTCCATCACGCGCAACAATTTTTAGGTGGTTTGCTGAATTCAAAAGGGGTAAAATTAATCTTAAAGATGACCAAAGAACTGGGGCCCCGCAAACAGCAGTAACGGCAGAAAATGTATTGACTACTGAAATGTTAGAAGACCCACAAATCACATGTATGGACATTGAAAAGATTGCAGACATTAGTTCGGGCAGCAGTAATACCATCCTACATCAACATCTTGGGATTGAGGAAGCTTTGTTGTCTATGGATCCCTCGTTTACTCTCCGAAAACCGGAAAACAGACTCGTGTGGATTGGTACCATGAAATGCATCTACGTTTTGAAAATGGGGCATCTAGTTTTTCAGAAATCGTTACTGGTGACGATACATGGATCTATCAATATGATCCGGAAAATAAAAGGCAATCATCGGTATGGGTGTACTCAGAAGGACGGTTACTGACAAAACTGCAAAGACCTCACAACATAGGCAAAAAAATGGTGGCTAGTTTTTTTCGCGGAGCGGACATTTGTCAAAGTCAATCCTGGAACATTGTAGGTCAGTCAACTCTGAATGGTATACTACAGTTGTATTACCCAAAGCTTTTCAAGCTGTGCGGGAGAGAAGACCAAAGACCGGGCTTTGGGAAATCATGATGCATCATGATAATTGCTCTTCACAGACCTCCCTTAGAACAAAAGCATTTATTGAGGAATCTGGTGTTGAAACTTTAAGTCATCCACCCTACAGCCCTGACTTAACTACTTGTGATTTCGTTCATGCAATTTTTTTTTCAAGCGCCGAAGAATCCGTGACTGCCTACGAAGAAGCGATTTCTGACCTGTCAGATCAAGACTAGCAAGCGTTTTCAGAGTTGGTTTAGGCGAATGGAACTTTGTATATATCATGGTGGAAAATATTTTGAAAAGATGTAAAATAAATATTAATAGTATCTAGAATACTTTTTGTATATTTCAAAACTTATTGAGTGTCCTATGTACACTCATCATATGAAACACAGCAGTATTGAGCTCTTATTTTATGGTGGTTTGTGTGAGCATGTTGCTTCATTATTATAATGTATGAATTTGGATCACACATCACAATAACGAAAAATTAGTCCTTTTTGGTTAAGGGATATAAAAAAGCTATTTTTGAGAAATTCTGCCCTACATTTAAAGTTAATAAGTTGGTCAGAGTAATGAAGCTTATTCACTAGGTATATTTAAAAATGTACCTAATATATTTATAAAGAAAAAGCATACCTCCTTTTCTTTCCTGCTGTCTTCAAATGTTTTAATGAGCTCCTCGCAATCAAGATTTTCAACTGGCTCCCATGTACTTTCCTCTTCTTTGTAGCCTTTCCACTTTAACAAATACTGGATCTAGAAGAGCATATAAATTTTACTTATAAATTCTTAAACAACATGCTTTATTTACAAATGCCAATGGTTATATATAATAAACCATATAAATTATTATACTATAAACATGTAATATGGCACAGAAGCACAACTGACATAGGTAGAATGAATACATGATTTTCAGAGAGGGCCGTAAAGTAATTAACAGAATTATTTTCCTAGAAAAAAAAAAGAAATCTAACATAGCCATTTGAAATGAATAATTCACTCTTTTAATTTAAAATTTGTGTAGTCCAATACATAATAGATGTTTGTCTATTATGTATTATATACACAAGTACTTATTTAAAAAAATACTAGCAGTTTAGTTCTGATGCAATTCCTTAAATATTATGTAAATTATAAAAAAAAAATACATTATAACATAGAATTGGTGAATGAAAATATCAAAAATGGAAATGTACACTACAAGTAATATCAGCAACAGCAGGTTGAGGTGTGGCTGTGGACATTTAGTTGATTGTGTCAGGTTTAGGATAAGCTAGTTTGTATTAAAATAGAGTTTGGCCAGTTACATAGTTTATGTAATAGCAAAAAAACAATGAGAAATTAATTTATTAACCGCTGACAGGCCCCTGTTGCTAACCACTGGTTTACAACACATTTCCTCCCTAAACTGACCTGTTAACTCCTGGTTAACAAGATTTTTCACCCACAAAATGCCCTGTGTACCAGTGGTTTACAAACGCACATTTGAGTGTAGTTGTTAAAAAAAGAGCCATATTTCAATGAATATAGGTTTTATTCATAGTTTCGGACTTGTTACCTTTTAAGTATGATATTTTAAGCTTTAAACTACCCATTCATAGCCACTAAACATGTGTGTAAATCATGCCTTACTTTATGGCATTTTTTTGTTTGAAAACATACTCACAAACTATGCATGTGATACGTTTGTTGAAAAGGAAATAAAAATGAAATTTAATGAGTTTAGAATCACTGCATCAATTATTTAGGTATGTGGTATACAAATTCGGAAAACTGGCAGTTGATTTTCGTTATTTTTTTATCTATGCAATTAGGGAGACACTTGACAGGTATTCACAAGTGGCACTGGGGTCACTTTAGTGACATAATCAAATTGCATAGTGAGCATCTGAGCGGTTATAGACCATAAGATCTTTCTGGCATTTTACATAGTTCTCTCTTTGTAAAACTCATGAAAAATGTGATGACAGAATTGATAGAGGATAGTATAAAGAGGTCAGACCCACAACAGAGAGCAACAACAAAGGTCCAAGACATCTGGTAATGTAGACATGCCAAAATTATAGACATCCGGTACTTGCATACAGGGCTGGGATGGGTAGGGAGAGGTGTTGGGTGTAGAAGAAGCCGTCCCTAGCCTTCCCCCTTGCGGAAATGTATAGTTTATGAGTAATGTTTTTTTTGTTAAATCATCTCCTCACTTTTTACACAGGAATATTGACCCAAAGTTACTTCTGTAACAGCTTCGGCGCAGCGGGAAGTGCAGTTCCTTTTCCCTTGTGTAGCAAATTACAGGCACCCATACTCACATTTGCAGCTTTGGCTTATTGGTTGTTTTCGGCGACCAGCCTCAGCTGCTATAACTTGCATGGTTGCCTGAAATGTGGTACGGTGGGCGGGGGCTGCTCTCCCACCACGTCTATAGCTTTACAAAAACACTAGGGGTAGGGCAGACAAGAATATGTGGAGTTTGGATGTACTGGTTCTATACAATCTATACAATCACGTTGCCCTAAACTCTATAATAGTGGTAAATGAAACAATGCAATGTGAATTGTTATAAGTAATTTTGTTTTCTGAAAAACCTATTGACTGCTCTCCAGTGTGGCTCAATTTGTTGTATATGAGTCTTGTCTTCAGCCACAAATGGATTATCTGGGTACGAGTGATTAAAAAAAAACACAAACAAATTGACATATTTGCGTTTCATTATATAAATTTTTAGTGAAATTTATTTTTATCATAATTAATTTAAAACATATTTCCGACATCTGAAAATAGTGTAATTGGTTCAAGCTTAACCCTAACAAGTCTCCTAAACTAAAAGCATTAATGAAATCAAGTACCAAACATCTATAGTCAACCTGTAAATTCTAATGCAAACTTGAACTGTGAACTTGCCTAGTATGAGTTAAGCAATCATTGGGAGAAGCCTATGAGGTAATTTTTGTTTAAAATATCAAGGATTTGTTGATCTAGTGAATGAAGTAATTGAAATCCAATACAATATTAAACATTATGTTATAATGCCAACCTAATGAATTAACACTAAAAATATTAGTCAAATTTCTAACACTAGTAATAAACCGGTATGCACCCCACTTGATAGTTACTAGTCTATTGCTTTGCCACAATGTAATAATAACCTTAAAATATGTAACCTTTAAATGCACACAATCTAATACTTGCAGTATTGGAGTATTAATAACTATCATAATAAGTTATTTTTCTTGAGTAACACGAATGTCTATTATAATTTTCAATGATTTAAACATGTTTAGATGCTAGATACGTCAATGGTATCTATGTATATAAAACGCAGGATATTTTAGTGTCAATACTTTGTTTACAATCAAATTTAAATAATAAATCTATACTAAACATTAAAGTTAATTATTTCATAAAAAAATTTGTCAATTCGAATCATTGTAATGTCGCAGTAAAATACCAACCTTTCCTTTGACGGTTCTTTTATCGAGCACCTTTTCCACGACGTATTCTTCTTCACTAGAAGGATCAGTTGTTTCTCCTTTCTTGTCTTTTTTACCCATTTTTTTATTAAATAAAACAGAAAATGCCGGGTTTACAACGAACGGAGTCTATAATAGCTTTTAGCTTCTAAAAATCTAAATATACCAAAATGGCGGGACGCCAAAATTATTGCCGGTGTAAAAAATAATGATATAATAGGTTAATGTTGCAAGCTATATATTATAACTTTTGTACAACTAGTAGCGCCTTAAATAATTTTAATTACGATCTTAAAAATATACCTCTTTTAAAGTATTTTCTAAACAGCGAGATAATTAAAACTACTATAATATGCAATGTACGTAGACCACCCGGAAATTTCTGCGAAACTAAAACAAGTTCTGCCATTTTTTTTTTAAATTTAGTTATATAATATTTTACTGCGATGAAAACTATATCACATTCAGTAGATTTTTTATTTTACGGAATAATTGGAAGTCACACGATGCAAAATCAAAACTGTCATAAGATTGACTTAAAAGCTTAACCAGTGTGCTGTGCAGGAAGTCCCTTGTATTGAGCACTTTTTGAAAGTAGTAACCCATGGAATAACGTGTTTTGTTCTCTGGTTACTGAAGCAGTGAACGCTTCTGGCAAATTTTGGAAGTTTACTATTTGTTGTTGGTACTACATTGATTACATAAGGGAATTGACACCAGACACCCCGTCAAATTGAAAAAATAGCGATGAAAATCTTATCTGCAATTCGCGCTCGCTTCAATTTCATCGATGATGTTGTATAATTAAAAGGTGTTCGTGTTGAACCTCGTGAATTCCGCCAATCTGCAACATTTTGAATCCGAAAAAAATACCGTGCGAATTGTCCCTGACGCAGATCTATTTTGCAATGAAATACGCTATTCCCATCCAAATCCAAATTTTAAATAAAAACTTTCGTATTTTTAGATATCGCATTTTTTAAATAAAATCTAGCCGATGTCGAATACAAAATACTTACTTTGTTAAGCAAAATATTTTACGTAGTCATTTGTGAAACTTTGAACTATTATGTTTTGTTTAAGTGTGTTCTATGTATAAGGGGCCAAAAGTATTTCTGTATTTCCACTAAAAGTATTTCGGAATGAAACAAAAATATCGATACATTAAAAAGCATATTTTTAAAACGCGAAGAAAATGTTCAAAAACAATATATCTTTCTTTTATTAATTTAATCATGAAACAACATATTAAAGTGTTATTATTTATTAAACTAACACAGAAAATTCTACCAAATCTATTTCATTTTGTATAATTTTGGAAAATAACATTTTATTGCATGTCAACATTTCTTTTTGTTCCTAACTTCACTACAGCTCTATTCTTTCTGGTGTGCTTGGTGTGATTGACACAAAGCGTATAATGTCAAATCCGTTCTTCGTATTTCATCTCTTTGCTCTTTATTCATTCGCCTCAGTTTCAGTTTCAATTTGTTGATTGTCGAAGAACGAGCGTAAAGTGGACACATTACAGTCCATGTTGCTGTTTTTGTATCGCTGATTTGATTAAGCGGTGCAGTGGGGTTTCGTGGATTATATTTTTTATATAAGTTTATAAATTGTGTGTTTTACAAAATTAACATAAATTATGCTTGTGCACTAGAAGCTGTGTGTAAGTTGTGTAAACATTTACGTGATTATTACAAATAAAGTAATTACTAAAAGACAGCAAGATAACAAGTTTTTGTGTCGAGTGGTTTCAAATTGACTCTTGACGTCACGAAGGTGACCAATCAATTGAGGCCGAAGATTGTGTAGTAACTGAGTGTTTTATTATGATCTGAAACGTTTGTTGCTGAAATGAAATGTTGAATGGATCACACCACGTGAGCATATGTTGGAAATATGCTTTTGAAATGTACTGCAGATGGGCGACGGATCAAAGTGAACGGGGCGCCGGTCGGCCAAGGAAATGTAGCGAGAGGTATGTAATCAGTAATCACTGTGTTGTTGTTATTGTCACGATTATTTTAAAATTTTAATGTTCTCCGATTTATATTATTTAATACTTTAATTATTTTATACTCTTTATGATGGGATGGATGTATGGAATACACCACCGTTTTCTCTAAATGCGAAACTCACATTAATTTGGTATATCCTGGTGAATGTCAGATAAGTTTCCGGCTTCCGACTGATTGCGGAAAATCCATTGATAAATGCTGAATCCAAATTATCCCAGTCTGTGATAGAATGGAGGGCTGCTCATATGACTGACCAGTGCTGGCTGGGTGTTTCGCGCCCACCAACCCGCTCGCAGACTGCAGGTGAGAATGAGAAATCCAGTAGAAGTCTTCATAAATCTGATATGGAATGGTTAAACAATCGAATTTTGAGCAATACTAATTCGGTTTTGTCAAACATCTCGTTTTTCCTAATTTTTTTACTTAGGTATATGAGAAGTAGTCTAAAACGAAGGGTTAGTTATATGCTCTCTATAACTAATATCACTATTGTACTTAATATATGAAATTACAAATTTGTATACATTTTTAACGGTCTTTAATGTTAAGCTCCTAAATATCAGCCTTTTCAAGAAAGTCAAGAAAGTCGAGGTAGCTTGAAAATATATTTTGCAAATACCACGCAGGGTCTTTTGTGCTTTCGGGATCGCCATGAATGTGTTCGTGCTTTCCTGCTAAAAAAAAGAACTTCGATGTAGGAAACATGTGAAAAAAAATTAGTAGTTGAATCCGCGTGTTAAAATAAAATAATGTGTCTTACTTAGTTTGAAGAGCACCTCCCGCCCTTCCTCAACGAGGGCGGAAGCCCTCTCTCAAGCGTACACTATCCCCGTTACCACTTATCCCGGCACTACTACTGCCAACACCACTACACTAGGAAAGACACACCACCGTCGTTTATACGACAAGTAGAGTCTACGTTTGCTTATAATTTTTTTAACATCTTTAATATAATAGATTTCCGCAAAGTAACGCCTGATTCTATTACTTATTCTATGTAGGAGCCAAACAGCGGTCGCTATTGCAGAAAGTGGCAGAGATTAGTACTAGTAAACAGCGTCAATACACAATCGCACATACTACGCTTGGTAGCAATGATACTGACCGTCACTAGCATGTGGGATTCGGTTACGGCATTTTCGAATATATACACCGTCTCTGCCGCCAGAGGTTTAATATTGGCATAGATTCGCTGTATAATGATGTAATATCATCCATTGCCCAATATCATTCCGTGCCCAATATCATCCCGTGCCCAATATGATTCCATGCCCAATATGATTCCATGCCCAATATCATCCCGTGCCCGATATCATCCCGTGCTCAATATCATCCCGTGCCCAATATCATCCCGTGCCCAATATGATTCCATGCCCAATAAGATTCCATGCCCAATATCATCCCGTGCCCGATATCATCCCGTGCTCAATATTATCCCGTGCCCAATATCATCCCGTGCCCAATATGATTCCATGCCCAATATGATTCCATGCCCAATATCATCCCGTGCCCGATATCATCCCGTGCTCAATATCATCCCGTGCCCAATATGATTCCATGCCCAATACGATTCCATGCCCAATATCATCCCGTGCCCGATATCATCCCGTGCTCAATATCATCCCGTGCCCAATATGATTCCATGCCCAATATGATTCCATGCCCAATATGATTCCATGCCCAATATCATCCCGTGGCCGATATCATCCCGTGCTCAATATCATCCCGTGCCCAATATGATTCCATGTCCAATATGATTCCATGCCCAATATCATCCCGTGCCCGATATCATCCCGTGCTCAATATCATCCCGTGCCCGATATCATCCCTTGCCCAATATCATTCCGTGCTCAATTTTATTAAATAGTAGTCGTAGTCTTAAATACAAAATTTGGATACTCTTTGAAAAATAACACTGTATACAATGTTGGGCGTACCAGCCAGCTTAATGTATACAGATTTCTTGAGGTGGGAGCTATTACGTGACCGAGCTACGTAGAACTGGCCGAAAAACTTATGCTGTGATCCATACCGGTCATACACAGCGTCCGGCCCTGCACCTTAATATTTACCATTTTACCCTAATTTAATCATCGACTTATCAAAAGTCTGCCTATGAAAATATTATGTCTCTAAAGCAGGGGATCATCTAGATTCTAGACGGACATGTCCACGGGCTGCTTGTCCGGGCATGTCTGTCGCCGCAATACACATACGAGTACACTACACACACTCATCACTTTTAGACGGGCTACGTGATTATTTGTGCGTGCACATTAAGATGACAACCTATTATAGACTTGCAATGCTTATTATTTATTTATTATTAATTCGGTGGAAAGAATGGTGTAAAAATAGAAATAAACTTAGCTATATCAATTTAAATAAAGAATTAGAAGCTGATGAACCAGGAGACCTGTACAATTACTTGCGCATGGATATACAGTCGTATAAATTCATCCCAGAATATTTTATTATCATTAAAACTTGTTGCAATTTAAAAATCTCCAAAGTTCGTTAAAAATAATAAGTGGCCGTCTGCACTGGTTGCTGTCGCTCTTGTGTCTGCGAACAGACAGGCCGCAGACATTCACGTTCGGGCATATCACAGAGGCTTAGACAAAATGAGATCGCGCGGACGTTCAACTGGCAAATGGTCCTACACTATCAAACCTTGCACAGAACTATAGTAGCGAAGTCCGGCAGGCATGTCTGCAGACATGCCCGTGAGCAAGTCCCTCTAGTGAATTCCCCGCTTTAGGGTTCCCCCTTATTTGCCATGCGGCAGTATCTGTAAAACAAAAGCAGGTACTTACTTTATAAAGGGTATCATTTATTAACATTTTTAAAACAATATTTTTCTGTACTTTTTGCGGTACATAATGGTTTTATGTGTTATATAGCCGGCACTAGAGAACATTGTTGTGGCAAAAGTCAGAATTAACGTTAATTTTAATATGACAAGGCTATAGAACGAAGAGTGTGAGTGTGTGTGCAGGATGCAGAGTAAATGGGCTCTTAACTATGTTGTATGTAATGTTAAAATATGTTAAAAAAAGA